ATATTCGGAAAAATCGAATTTCCAGCTCAAGGTTAGACAAAGAAACCAGTCAATCAAAAAAACCCTAGTTCATGCCAATAATGGCACAAAAAGAGAGGGGAGATTTCGTCAACGGGGAGCAGAATTGAAAACACTTGAGAAAGGGACGTGGGGAATTTCGAACGTTGACTATAAGGATGTAACACTTGCTATGGCGCGGAATGTGGTGAAATGCTGTGGGAGGGGGTATTTCTGTATTTGTCCCACAAACCCTCCTTCGCCCCCGGACCGGTGGTCTGTTCGAGCCTCTGAGCAAGCTAGTGATAGGTGATGAATTATGTGACAGCAAACTTCTGTCTGCTAGGTAACGCGCGCCCACGAGCAAAGGCAGCAGTTCACAGGTCACTACTGATTTTGGCAAAGATCGCCGTAGGATTGAAGTGCCATGGCGATTCCAGACCGAGTGTTGTGACTTGCCTGAGACCTGACTGCAACTCCGCCATCGATTACAATGTTCCAGGAGATGCTGCTACCAAGTTTGGAGTAATAGTTTTCCTTCGTCAGGCAATTTCCGTTAAAAATAATCGTGAATCTAGTATACTCGACAGTCGGCTATGGTTGATGCATGATAAGCGTTTTATGCGTGTTGATGTATAGAACGAAGTTGGCACATTCGGATGCGGATAGACATAGGCTTCACTCCAGTTATGGCGTCCAGTGTACATTCGTCGGCGATTAGATCATCTATCCTGACCTTGGAGGCTTTTGTGACGGCTGGCGTACAGCAGGTTTTGGATAGTTTACCGCTGGTTCGGCAATTAGTGGAAATGCCTGACGGATCTGTTCGGCTGAAAAAGGTTAGAACGGGATGCATCCCAGTCTCTGCCTTCGATTCTGGTCTATTGTCTGCCACGTGTCCCGCTGCACCGCCATCACAAGTAGTCACCCAAATTACCTCATTTATTTCCAAATGCCGTCTTAGTTCAAATTGTCGGAGGCTTTAGTGAGATCCAAGAAGGTGGTGTGAAGGCTTATCCCTACTTGTTAGCTTTTCTCTTGCATCTGTTGAGATACGAAGTTCATATCCTTGGTTGCACGGTTTTTAGGGATGCACGTTGACATGGAAATCTTCGCCTCAGATGTAAATTCAAATAAGAATGTAGTGGACTACCGAAAATTTAACTGGAAATACTGAAAGTGAAACACGCGGTGGTTATTACAAGCTTGCCGGTTTCCTTCAGTTTTATACACAAAAACTACGGTTGCATCCGCAAAATTTTGTGAGATCTGTCCTTTCTACACCCCATAATGGAACAATGGGGCAAGCCTGTTCAAGAGTTTGGGGTCGCAGGGTTTGTAGATTTCGGCTGGGATTGGGCTAGCACTCGTCGATTCTCCACCGGACATTCGCTGCACTGTCCGACCCTTTCCTGCAGCGAGGGTGGACAATCGAGGTCAGCGTTGATCTCCACTTGAGGAAGTCTGTTTTGATGCATTCCTTTAGATTGAAGATGGTAGATGGACGAAATGCTCGACCCAAAGCACCAGGATCTGCGATTTTACCAGCAGCAGTTTTACCTCTGAGCTGGGTATCAGCCTCGGTTCGGTGGGCTTGAGACCGCAGACGGCCTCGATGGACGCAAAGAAGTCCCTGATTTCACCACGATCTGCGTACGCTTTAATCTAATGTCTTCGTAGTCAGTCAGTCATTTTGTGTCCACTTCTGTCTTTTTCGTGGTTGGTTTTGTCACCCAGGCATTCGGGCCGCCCAAAAATCAGCGTCAGGAGCCAGCCTACCGAAAGACTATAAAGACCTCCTTCTTCGCAGGCGCAGTTTTTCGCGACTTTAATTTGCTCACCAAATCAATACACTGGACAAATGACAGCTCGCCCCGCTGAACACTTAAGGGACCTTTTAGAGGATCGAGGAGGTGGGGAAAAGAAGATATGGGAAATAATGCAAGTGTGACTGAGATAACTAGATTCTCCATATACGCCAACAGTCGTCCGAAGTACATCCGCACTCTCTTCTTGGAGTTCGCTTATATTTTGGCATCCATATCAAAGGACTAGTAAGCTGGATTTTAACCAAAGCTCGGAATCTTAATGAAGTCCACCTCACCTTCCCGTAAATTCCGCCGCTTGCGATGCTGATCATGGCAACTGACGCATCCGCACGGCAAGTATGCAAGCAGGTCTTCTCGGAGGCAGGGACTGTTAGGCTCAGAGGACTGGACAACTGAGATGCTTCGACCATGTGCTGCAACGACCTGGTGGCAGGCAAATTGTTCAGGGTGCCATCTCACCCGAACCCGGTCGGAGTCACGGCGGTCAATTGAAGAACCGGTGAGAGTTGACTTCAGGCGTATCTGTGGTCATGCGGTCTTTGGAGCTGGCTCAACTTCGCTCAGGGGTTTGTCACCGGCCGACCGACTGCGTGATGAATCTTTAGTCTGGAGCTACCTGAAGCAGTTATGGTGAACGTCGCTAAAACTCGGCGAAACATCATGTGAACACTGACTGCTTCCCTCGCAAGTATCCTACTTGATGGCTCGGACATTACTTTGACGTCAGGCGTTGAGAAACTCCTCCATGTCTACCAGTGCGGTGTCACTGATAGCTTTGGTAGACATGGCGTTGGGACTGCGTCAAGTACCGAGACCGAGGCTTCACTCTTACGCTGTAGACTTGTATGACGGAGTAGTACACTTTGATGTCTTCGTCACACTGTACAGTTATTGCGGATCTCTACTATGCATAAAGAAGACATCTGGCGAGTCATAGTAGTAACAGTACAGTCTGCGCACGCCCTGGCCGCACTAACAGCCATTGCTATCTGCTGCTTTAGTCCCAAAGAGGGCTGCGTTAGCTCATAACGGAGGCCAAATTGGAGCACGTCATGCGTTGACCAGGCTGCTCAGAGTACGGACGTTCCATGACAAATGCCACACATGGGGGATGTGATTGCACGCCCAGGCGTAGGCTCTACGCCGTGCCAGCTACTTGCGTCCACTTCAAACATCAGATGCCCGACTGACTCGAACAGTGGACTGGTGTGCGGGATAAGAGTAAGGTCGCCACTGCGGAATCCATCCACACGGCATTCCCCATTGCAAACAATCTAATACGCTTATAAGCAAAAGTCGTGTCTTGAAAGGCTGCCAGATGACTGCTCAACTGCGTCCCAGGCATCCAAAGTGGACCAAAGCACGAACTCACCTAGGACGGAAAGTATCGCCCCAGGTCTTGTGATTGGAGGTATATGGCTGTTCAGACGGCGGAACGTCTTGGAAAGTGGACTTCTGTTACCTCCGATCGAGCTTTCTGTCTTGCGATTGGCTCGCGCAAGCAGAAAGCATCTACCAAATTAAAGCATTCCAGTGGTGGTGATTGTGATTCATTCCCCGAATCCCTGATCACGAGAGTAATCTGCTAAGTCAGGTGATTCAGTCACGCAATTCGCCGATCTGGAGGCCAGGCTGCACTTTTGCCCGGTCGGTTCTGGCTGCTGACGGCGTTAAGATTACTACCTGGAAGCTAACCTCGAGCACATCGATCTGGACAGCCGGCGTACCAACCGGCTCGACGTTGCTGTAGTCTGCTGCCGACCAGTCGTGTGTGATGTCGCCGAAGTGAAACAGGAAGTCGGCCGAATCTGTACTGGTGAAAGCCGTTCCAATTAAAAACAGTAAATGATGCAGGCACCGGATACTAGAAAGATTCCAGAAGCGTAGACGAGATTGAAGAGCGGGGTGCAGGGCTTTCGAACCTATGAACGGCGCCTCAGTCGTAACACGGCCGAACGAAGAAGCGAGTGGTGAATTTACGAACATCATCATCACTAACTATTTAACTGGCCCTGATCATCCGCCTGATAATGTCCATTTCAGCGATAAAATTGCACGGAAAAAACTGAGGAAAACAAACCCTTCGTCGACGTTTGTATCACCCTACACGTGACAGTTCACGAGTTCAGACAATCAGGTGTTCATCATCAATGCACCTACATGATCCGTGAGCAGGAAATTATCAAAAGAATGGCGTATGGTGCAAGAATGTTGAAACATTGGGCTAAAACAAACAGCAAGAAAAAATATTAGGGGGATTTAACGGCGGAAGAGGAGCACAGGGTCGTCGTAAAAAAGCAAGTAAGGGGGGCCGCAAGACAGCAAACGGCGGACCACGTTCGAGTGGGGGGGGGAGAACCATCCTCGAGAGAGAGACGAAGACGATCGTCTGTGCAGCAATACAAACAGCAATGATGCATAAAGTGGTGATAGGGGGAGGTAAAACATACTGTTGCGCTCCCTAGCTCCAGGGTAAAACGGTTTGGTATCCTCAAAAAGGCTAAGCCAAGGAAACGGGCATCACACAAGCATACATTAAAGTGACAAATGATGCCACTAAGTCAACAAATGGCATTCAATTAAGCAAGAAAGGAGGGGGTTAAATATAATGAAGCAAACAAGGCTGCCATTAATACCGCCAGTCGTGGTGTCGACGGGGACTAGAAGACCAAAAAGGGCGTACTGCAGCTTCTGGGTGCGGATTTTGCAGACAAAAAAAAGTGGAAAAAGATGGCTGCAACAAACAAAAGCGCGGGCTGAGTAGAGGGAAGAGGTAAAAGCACAGGATCACATAAATACTTCGAGTCGCTTAGAAGCTTTCGGTGACAGTAACACCACGCTCGCGGCAACGCGCACAGTTCAGTTACAGAGAAAGACCCATTGGTGGTAAAAAAAAATAGGGTGCCGTGTATGCGGTAAATGCGAACTAGACAGTGATGATAGGCAACTATTTACACATACACATTCAATAACAACTAAATGCGACATCTCCGAAATGCAAAATTTGATTCAATTGCCAACGTCATGACAAAACCTAGGCAGCGCGCATACTGACGTGTTTTGGAAGCACAGCCAGATTTGTAGGAGGCGGGTGGCAGTGGCGACGGACAGAAGAATGTTCCTCGCCGCATCAGAGTAACGGTTGACTACGTACACGCGCCGACAAGGGTTCAGTTAGCACCGATGGACGTTGGCAGGGGCCACGGGTGTTTCATGGCAGGGAGAATCGCAGATGGAGAACTGCGCAACGGACGATCGGCAGAAATTAGTGCAGATTGGAGTGCAGGGCAGGCTTACGTCACTATCACCCGGTAGACGGAAGCCTTTTGGTCTTTTGAGCCCAGAAGAAACGGGCAACATTCGTGAAGGTGGTGGCGGCGGGGGTGGTACTGCGACCGGCAAGTCTCCTACGGCATGTGACTCGACACAGGGCGGCCGGGATGAACGGTCTTTCTCTGAGAGGGTGGCAGCCACGACTCGTCGGCCCACTCGGACCACCGCCTCCGCCAGACGCACTGAACTGTCTGTGAAACTGCAGCTTAGGCGCTCTGTTTGTCTTGAAATCGGCGAGGATAGTCCGTCTGCAGTTGCAGTGCCCAGGTTTAGATCTGCAGAAAACACCGACGATGGCCCGAGTTCGTCGGATAGGGCAAAAGTGGCTGTAAGGAAATCACAAAAGCGGAGGTAACAGTAAATCACAAAGGTGGTGAATGTTTACCCAAAGAATACCTAAACAAGCAAAGAGCTTGGATCTCAGACAGTTCTCCATGATAGGAGGGAGATAGAGTTCTTAAAAGGCAATCCGAGGGAACGTCGCTGCGACAAAAGCAGAAGACGGCAATTTCAACGAGTCGGAAGGGTGGACGGACAAAAATCCTCGTGGCAAACAAGTTTCGCATCGCACAGTTGGATAGGGCTGAAACTGGGGCCAACCAGAGTGAAGTACTAGTATCTGACGGCTGTACTTCGTTCAGGAACTGAACTTGCTGCGAGATCAGAGGGACGAAAGTAGTTGAGGTTCCCACATGATGTAAATAATGTGTTGCTGGTCTACTGGTGTCTTATTTGAACATGCTGAAAGAACTCTTTGTCGAGGCGGCTGTAAGCAGTACCGAAATACTTCGTACATCAAAGGCAGGCGCAGAAATGAGGACGAGTGTAAATGAGTTTGAAAAATAGGGCGAGAGGATATGCTTACGGGAAAAGGGAGGCTTTTCAGTGGGCATGCGCCCAGCAAGAGCAAGACGTGGAGCCGTGTTCTCCTTATCAAAGGTTGCGTCAAACATGGTACTGGCCACAATCGGGAAAGTTCCAATTTTTGGTGTTGACGGCCTTCCAAACGACTGCTCAGGCTGTGAAGCGTTAAGATCTTGTTTGCAGGGCGGCACTATGCGGAAGCAATCTTGGCAGGCTGTGCTAACCCGCTTGGTAAGGCGTTTGTACAGACGCAGTTCTCCCCGGTATTCCGGATTGAACATGGTTACATAAGCGCTGGGGTCGCAGAATTCCTAAAAAAAAACAGTCGCCAATTTATTTTCAGAATTCCAGAATCTGTCCAAAGTGAGTCAGTGGGAAGTAGGTATGATAGAGTGGGCACTCACTGATCGGCATTATAAGGGTAAGGATACGATATTAAAGTGGCTTAAGTCAGTAAGTAAAACAATGGAAACTTGTCGGACCTTAAGTGGTGTTCGATTTTGTTGGGCACAAAGGCCGGAGTTAGTCCTGTTATCAGACTGACTGGTGTACGAAAAGTGCACCTCAACTGGACAAAGCCTGTCGCCGAAATCTGCCACGCTGCACGGCATTAACCGTATACTCCTAAAGACTAAGTGTGCATACAGAATTTCGATTAGAACACATCGAGCTAATAACTGCTTACTGATACTTAATAAAGCATGGTTAAATCAAACGTTCTGAATAAATTAAGAAGAAACGTGAAAAGACAGTAAACTATACCGGGAATTTCTTATAAAATTCGGAATAGCCACCCTTCATAACGTAGACTTCAGGAAAGAAGAGGAAGGGATAACGGTGGTAATTTGTAGTGCGGTCAATGCGTCTCAAGAACGTTGCCCTACAACAAAAAAGCAGTCAGTAGCGGATACAATGGAAATAGGGACGGCAATGACGGGTATTAACTGCGTGGACAGACCGATAACAACGTGCTACTCTGTGGCATTTCGCATACAAATATTGATCGGCGTACGCTGAATAAATAACCTAGAATCGATCGATAGTTACTGCAGCTTACCAAGGTCAGGTTATGCTGAAGATATGGAAGTGAATTATGGGAAGCGGCTGGCGATAAAAACGGGGAGAAGCCAAAATCTCTTGGGGAGACTTGATAAGCAAAAAACTTACAAATGGGGTGCACGCTGAGAGGAGAACTCGCAGTGGAATATCACAACAAAGCTCGGCTCTGGGGGCTCAGGGCTGTCCTCTTCAGATGTCTGAAGGCGTCTAGACGAAGTCGTAGAGTCTAGCGAACCGGACTGAAAGCTTCGGGCACTTGGTGGATCAGAGACGAATGAGTGCGGTTCCACCACCACGGGAGTGGGAGCGGCGGCAGGAGCCTGTTCAACGGGGTCCTCCTCCAGAAGATCGCTGTCTTGGTCCACCAATGAATCCGACTCCTCAGTGCTAGAGTGGTCGCTAAACTCGGGCAGTGGGACTTCCGGTCTAGGAATAGCAAGGCGACGGGACAGACCTTCACCCAGCAGTCTCGGGGGTCCGGCGCCCGGTGGAAGTTGAGCGGGCACCCGATTAAAGACTTCGTGTACCATGTCGTCATGCGTAAAGAGGTTCACAGCAGTCTTCACGTGGCCACCCTCGTACTCGTAGGGATATCGGCAGTCAACAATCATAAATTTGACGTTCTTTTTCTCGTAGTCACCGCGAAGGAGGCTGGCAACCGTGTCGGTGCTCACGAAGTTGAGTCCAGCACCAGTCCTTTCAATTACGGGCAAAGCGCGAGGGACTCGTCCATCACTCGCAAGATGATGTTCGGAACCGGCAAGGAACTGAAATAAAGGCACGACAAACTTGAAGCCTCGAGTGAATTAAGACAGCGTCTTGCAAAGCAGGGAGGTAATGCTGAAGGGGTGATGAAACGATGAAAAACGCGTGACAAAGGGTGTAAATAATTGCGGAGAAGTGTGAATAGCGGCAGAAGGTTAGAGGCAAGCTATTTTTTCCTTAAAAACAACACTAGTCACCACCATTTAGCCAACCGCTAACACCGCCCCCCCCCCACCGATACCACACGGTTAAACGTTGAGTTGCCGTCCCCAGGTCTCGCTTTCAGTTCAAAACGGGCGCCGAGGTACGGTGATTAAGCGGTCAACAAGTCACGAAGTGGGGAGGCCAACGAAGAGTACTGTCACAACTCCGAAGGAAACACTCACTTCTATCATTAATGCCCATCATGTGATTGTGCGTATGAAATAAAGTGTCAAACGTCAGATGTATAAAACTTCCACCCAGAGGTCGACTTTTATTGTTACTCCTCCCTGTCTCCAGTATATGCAACTAGGTGTCTTTAATTTGCAAAAACAGCCTCCTGGGGAAGAACGATTGTTGGTTCCATCAAAGAAGCTATGACGCAGGAAATCGGCTAATTTCTCCCAACAATAAATTGACTAACTTACTTTCTAACCAGAGATGAGGTGAATTGCAGCAGCGTAAAAACGGGAGGTATTCTCATTCACTAGATCGGAGGACAGAAACGCAAACCATCTACGGTGTCTAAAACACGGACTCAAATTTCAATGCAATCAGACAGATTAATTCAGGAAGGTAAGGGCCGATGATGCCTTAAAATGAGACGGTTTTGTAAAAGTCTGTAGGTTCCGAACTGTAGACTGAGGATCCTCGAAGATGTAGACACTCGCTTAAATTCATCTTTAAGATTGAAAGCCGATACGGAGGGCACGTTCCACAAATGCAGTAACGAAGACTAAAGACTCATTGTTGGCGGCATCTAACCCATTAGCTAAAACCTATATTCGGTTAGTCAAGTGGCATAGGCAATGGGTAAACAATCTGGGCTTGGATACATCAGATATAAGTTGAGATCCGGACAGCTTTGGTCGGATGCGTCTAAATAAAAAGCCAGAAAAGGGTTGTGTGCCTGCAAGACAGCCCATAAAGGCGCAAGAATAACAAGTCCACATGTACGCAAGTCTTGGGTGAGGTCGATCAACAACATGTGTGTGTAAAGCTGTGCACAACACTGTAGGTTATGGTGAGAGCTGATAACTGGAAAGGCTTCCAATGCCTGCGGGAAGTCCACCTTATATTTCGACTGACCCGATTCTGAGAAACTCGGAGGCCCCGGTAGGAATCTAATTCGCGACAAAAACGGCAAAGCTCCAGCCGTTAACGCCTTCCAAGATCCGATATGGCACCCGTGATGGTCCAGCGCATCTAACACGTGATGCGTTTGGGGGCACAAGTGCCAAACAGGGGAGAAAGGTCAAATGCTGAAAAGGACGAAGTAATGCTGTTACTGTCCCATCCCCGAAAGAGTCCCTGCTCAACGCTTTGGACCACATCTTTGATAAGGGTGTCTCTTCAGTCGTATGCGTACCCTGATGCCTCCTTTGTCCAAAGACACCCAGTAATTTGTGCGGCAGATTGTCTATCTTGAGAAAAGGTCAATAAGCGGGAAGTCAGAACCAGAATTTAGACAAGCGTTTTAACAGTAATTCCTCGTTTTAGGTGTTCTCAGAGGATTTTATTCCATCTGGTCGATGACAACAGTCATGAGCTTTAAAGTTTGACGTTCATGCAGTACATGGGTCCAGGGTTAGAGGAGATAAAGGAAGTATTCCAGGTGATAACCACTTCTGTCACTATCAAGCCTCGCAAGCTTCTCTTAACAAAAGTTCTACTGAGTACTAATTTTGACAATAGTGGTCGACCCTTTGAAGTCGAGCGGTTTCCCTGTTGCTACGACCAAAGGAAGGTCACTGGTTGAGAAACAAATCTTAACTCTCGTCTGTGTCCTTAAAGTTCAGGCTCACCATTACAAAGTCTACCCGCATCCTGTACGGGTAGCAAATCAGGTCAAGTACACAGGCACTTGATCAGCAGATTGACAGGTGAGGTTGAGAAATTTCAGTGCATCGAAGGCCAGTCGCATTTGCTCGATGAGATAACTCTCACAACCAGTGACCGAATCGTTAGTCCAGGAGGGATAGTCAGTTCCTTATGATGGCGGTGGTTTGGGGTGCGACCGCTGCTGGCCGCCATCAAAACACCTTTGTTGGCACAAAAACTATGGAAGAAGGATAAAAAGCCGCCTACAAAGTCTAGATGATGTCTACAAATGTCGTCTCGGGTTTAGCAAGTTATTCCATCATGGTACGAGTTAGCTGCAGACGTAGAGGTGGTTGTAGCTGCGAATATGGCATCACTTAGTTGGCATGCATGACAATATCTCCACATGACAACATCCAGCCCCAAATTAATCTCTAAATGGTGCTAGGCTGCGTCATTCACTTATTACTTTTTCTCTCGGGAGACCCCGCATTCGTGTAGTCAACAGTGTATAATGCAGAGGACAAATACAGGATATAAATGAAGTCCCCAGTCGGTAAATAGCTGCACAACCAGTCACAGTTTGACGAAGATGTACATACAGTTGCGGAAAGAACGGAAAGACCCAGACTGGTGAGTTTACGTGTGCTAAGATGAAACTGTTCACAAAATATCCTACTAAACTTGGTCTCGTTAACGTTAGCCTGCACCTCGAATGAAAATAATGGGGGGGTCAAGGCCCGGAATTCCCATACGGTCTAACGATAGTATCAAATGATGATTGCAACATACCTCGTCAGCGCAAACGGACACGGGAACCGAGACGCAACGAGAAAGCTGAGGAGGCTGCTTGCACTCACTCCTTGTCGGGAGAACTCTCACGTTCTTCACATTAGTCACTGGCGTGGATTGGTGGCGAAGCAAATCAAAAGGAAGTGCTTTAGAGGCTTCGTTTGAATACCGCTCCCCGGAAATCACAGGTGAGTCGACATGGATATCGCTTGAGTCCGAACTGTCTAGGGGCGTGGTAGAGTCGAGGCTCTCAGCGGTCGCGGGGTCCGAGGCGATGGGTGACTGTGGACAAACAATTGGTGAGTATATACGTTGTTTCTTTGCGGCAGGCGCACGTGGTGAAAAGATATCGGTAGCGTCGAGGTCAACCAATTGTGTGCCAATGTCCTCAGAATTCACGTCGTTGCCTGTACTATTATCCAGGTCTTCGCCCACTGTAGACAGCCCGGGGTGGCAAGAGATCTTCCGACAGCCCACAGGCGGTCGGCAGCCAGAATCCCCAGAGCTAGAATAAGGATTGGGTACCGTAGCACTTCTTCTGAGTATGCCAGACAAACGCGGCCAACACTGTCGTTTTTGAGACCTTTTCGCAAGCCAAGTAGATGTGCAAGACTGAGATCGACGGAGTTCGAAGCAAGGTCGTTCCTTCTTAGGCCACTTCAGTTGCAATTGGCCTGAGGTAGTTGAATTTAACTGTTCGGGTCTCTCAGACGCCTACCGAAGACATGGTAAGAATAAGTAAATGACCCTACATTTTCAAACTGGCAAGTAGACGGAGCTGAGTAACTGGTAGAGCTAAAGTACCCCGAAGAGCAACTATTTGAAGATTCTCGGAAGGATCTGCATAGCTCTCCATTTGACAACCAATCATGAGTTGCTTGTAGTGGTGGCGGCTCCTGGTTAGCACACTCATCAAGATCCTTCGGTATCGGACGGGGATCAGCTATAAGGCTTAGTGATTAACAAGAAATAATTTACAAAAAGATTTTCTTGGATTTCGTCCCTCGAGAGTCCTGGAAAGTTCAACAATTCTATCGTGAGAAGGAAATCAATTAAATTTTCCCAATACCCTGCATGCGAGAACATCCTCGACAATGTGGTAATGGGCGTCTCCAGCGCCCTAGCACCCTCCATTGTATTAAAAACAACGGGACCGCGTCGAGGCGCGTAGAAACTTCAGCCCCAAGCGCGTGGCAGGACGACTAAACAACTGGACTTGAATTTGGTGGACAGCTGACACTTTGGTTTTTCTACCAATGAGCTGGTAGAGCAGGAGCGCGTCATTCACGTTGACGTTCTAAATCAATGGATCGCCAGCTGACGCATGAACCAATCAGGACTCTCGCCTGTCTGGCTCGCCGAAGTCGGTGGCCCACGCGCGCCCTAACCGACCTGCGAACAGCTGACTGTTGGGCTGACAGGCGTTCACACAGCTGCGGCCTAAAGTCGACGCGGCGCTAGCTGCGGCCTCGTCCAGCTGCCTCATGAGCGCACCTTAACGTCTTCGTAGGCGGTTCTGTTGAGCTTAATTCTGACGTAATGACTACAGTGAACTGTCCATACAGTTATTACTTTAAGCTCGTCATCTAGGGAGTTATCAAAAGCTCCTCCCAGAATAGAGTAGTGACCAAACCCCCGAGTCCAAGACGATTCATGACCGAACTTTTTGGTGTTTTTGAGATCCTCTTGACGCATAAGCGGCCAAGAACCGACCTCCGTGAACGAATTCGAGTCGTTTGCTGGGGTAAAAGTAAATCTGCCTTCCTTAGAGTTATATTTTTAACTCACATATCTCGTCACATTTTACTAATCCGGACCCATTTGCACTTTGCACAAGCAAGTGCTCCAAAAAAGTATATTTACAGCTGTAGTAATAAGGTCGAAGCAGTCACTTGAAGTAAAATTTTCGAGGCACCGACTTTGAGGTAAATCTTTACTTAAGCAGCTCGTTAATCGACCTCGGTTAGAAGACATTTGTTCGCTTGCCTGCATTGTATGGGGACACAAAAACAACGTGCTCGAGGTGTAAGCTTTTAATCCGAGTTATCCTTCTCCCTTTCATTAATGAGCTACATAAAATAGGGTAAAGAGCTTTTGTGCACAAAACGCAAATTAAAAATGCAATTTGCGTGGAAATTCCCAAGAAATGGGTCTGTGTTCTGGGTTTTAAGTGACTTAACACCCTAGACCGGGACTAAATGACTGGAGTGTAGCAGCACGACTCATCCTAGACGTAAATGACTGAAATTAGGAAGTAAAATCACACGACTTTCTTGTTTAGTACCCGGGAAAGTCTATTTCAGTCTTAAAAGTGTTTCAAACAACAGATGTCAGAATACTGGCGGATGAGAGTTCACTGATCATGTTATGGGACATGCTCGTGTCATTAGCTTAGGGGCTCAGTCCTCAGCTCTCGTAGGCAGTCGCAAAGCAATCAGGAATATATGTTGAAAGGAGTACCGAGAAAGACGAGAGAGATTGGACTGGTCATTTCTGAATGGCTAGCCTTCGTCAGCCAATCCCACCCAACCCCAGATTTGGAGGACCTGGAGTTCGAACCCGGGATATCTGGTCATTGGGCGGTAAGTAACCAAACGCTCTGCCACTGAGTTATTGTCCTGCTGGCTGTGATCGAGAATGTGAACAGTTGTGGGTGGACGTTCAGAACGCTTGTCTGTTGGCTCCCAGTCCGGACGCTAGTCCACTTCCATCCTCCTGACAGGGCGTTGGTGTGACTTAAAAAGTGGGAAATTATAGCTTACTTAAACCTTGAATACGAGGTAATTTAGACACTTTAAAATGAAAGTAAGCATTAAGAATAAACGGTGTGGTATGTTCTGCTTTAGAGGCCAAGACAGAGTGCTCTCCACAGAACTACCAGTATGACTCTGAAGGGTATATTATGGAGTGGCTCTGGTTAGTAGCAAATCGATTTATCCAATGTCCTTTTGTATGCTTCGGAGTTGGCATTCGAAGGAAGAATGATCAAGTCACCCTCTAAACCAGTCTCCATGACTGGTCATATGTGTATCGGCCGTCCACCCTCTCAAGCAGCTGAAAAAGTAATCTCTACTTCGTTAACCACAAATTCCACCTGATAGCATGGTTTTGAAATTCCAGTTTCTGTAGATACCCTCTCACTGGCGACTAAAACTAAGTAACAAGATTACTTAGAGGATATAAAGAAGATTTGGCGAGTCCGGAGCTTATGTGAAGGAGCCAAACACCAGTTTTGTGCACAGTCCGGACGCAAATGAATACTTGTCTTTGTGTGAACTCTGGTATTTAGGAGTACTGGTCACGTTGTCAGAACAATGATACTCAAGGCTATAGTCCTTAAGTCGAGTACTTAACACTTGTAGTATGGGAACACTTAATTTAAAAACAACAGTAATGAGTAATAAGACAGAAGCCAGCCTGGGTAGATTTAAATCAAGCTAGCATAATAATTTTTCAAAATGTTATAATAGGTGGAGACTGTTTCGTGCCTAACCGCACAAAACCAATACGGTGTAAGTCATCGACTGCATGCACTTGAGGAGACACGTCCAACAAAGTTCATTACCAAAGAAGACTACATGCAGTGCCGAATAATAAACTGACCACCGTCAACTTACCTACAGATGAGACTACAAAAGGAGTGCGAACGTCGCCGGTCCGAAAAAGCCGATCATCAGGCATAAACTTACACCCAGACCAGAGAAAATCTGGAGGGTCCGTGTATTAAGAAGATTGATGAATTTGAGAATAGTTGGGGCACGCTGGGAAAGGCGAGATACACAACTATCATGAATGGCCTTGTGCAAACGCTCACACATACCAATGGTATCATGAGGGGTCCGATGATCACATTCCACCTCGCTCGCAGATCATATGCAAACAAGGTGATGACTGCAACCAAAATGACTCAGACAGACGTCAATAATACCTATAGCAAAATCTTCGGGAGATCAAAAAGCCTGGTTAAACCAATATGTCGAAGGCTTTTCAGGGTAAGCTAGGGACAACAAATTAAGGACCTCTTGGTGGCCACTAGAGGCTCGGATGTAACACTGTTGATATCAAGAAAACCATAAATCCTGTGTATTTTGGCTGAACAGTTTCGAAGCATCTTTAATTGCCCACATTCGGTTAGCAGAGGACGATCAACAGGTCTTTAAAAGTCAGAAATACAAGCTGACTCTTGTACTTCGCCAGCCCCGCAGGAATCGAGCACGGCAGTCCGACAGGTTCCCATGTAGTGAACGACCGTCATGGGCTGGCGGGGTTGTGGGTGCGTGTCCACTGCCACTGGGGCGGTTGGTTAACCCAAGTTCCGCGGAGGCAGAGGCGGTTGACGGGGGAGAGGGGAGACTGCTGGTTTTTTGAGTTCAGCTAGCGTGAAGCGATGCAGATTTGCTCTGCTAGCTAAAAAAACTCCCGAAACAAGACTTTAGCCTATGTATGACTGTGCAAATGCATTTTTAATAAGATACACGAGCCTCTGTTCACCAGCGACCATGAGTTAAACAACGAGACAGAAGTAAACATACAGGGTGACCTGTGGTCATAGGCTGCACACGCACAAACTGCGGGCCAGCCGTAAAAGCCAGCACCGTGCATCAGTCGGCACCGACCGTGAAATACGTTGTATCCACGGCCACTGACAATAACCCTCACCCCCTTACCGTAGGTAGTCTCAAACCCGGGATCCCAGTCTCAAGGAACATCAAAATCGCAGCTTGGATATCCAAACTCGGTCAGATCTTCGAGTGACAACGATTTCTAGCGCAGGACCGTCACAGCATCCCAAGTAGCAAACTGAACGTGTGTGTGGTCGTATTGTGGACTACCCTGCTTCAAGGAATAAAAGTCTCAGTTCGCTACCGATCTGGGGAGAGAAAACTAGATCATTTCAGATACATCGGTAGGAACAGTTCTCAGCGCATAGGTTTTAGAGTCGACCGAGGACATCAACAGTTTTGCAACGCCAGGACGAGTCAACAGTGAAGGTCACCATATTTTGGGAATGTCAAATCAGTACCTTCCGGAATGACTACCATATGACGGTGATGCTGCAGGTAGTCGCAAATAAGAGGATCAAAAGCAAGGGTGCTTTAGCACATTGATTATCTCAGCATATATCAGGCAGGTAGGACGATCTGCAGAGAAACTTGGAACTGCGGTTGCCAGATTCATACATTGCCTGAGGTTAAAGAGAGGCGGGAAAATGCAGTAGCAGAGCACTGAAAATAATGCCACCGAGTGTCAATCCTTCTCACTGACAACGTCCTTTCAAAGATTCATATTGGTTTTGTGAGGCGTCACCATAAAAGTGCCAATAACAGCAACAAGACGACTAATCTATGGAAAGTCCTACTTGAACAATTCCCTGTTCAGTTAAACGTCACCACTGAGACCAATTCTATTAGCAGATGGGGGCAAAGATCCTGTGTTAGGGTGGATTCTGACTTTTGTGCTTGAAGATCAACACACGGATAGTATGGTAGATACGGGGGAGGAGTGCCTGATCGGTCAGAGTGCTCGATTTTTACACCTAACCGTCCTGGCTGAATTTTCCTCCGGAACAGGATTGGAGACGGGGAATGGAATAAAGCTGTTGCTGCGCGGCGTGTTTTCCTTAACATTCAAATGATGAACATTTGGGCTAGCTCGTCGCCTCAAATGTCGTGCTTTAGAAAATTGACTACTGGCGATATACCTTGGTCCTTTGGTCTGAAATCATAATTTGGACGGCTTCTTTTTAAAAGGGCTTCTATACAAAAGCTTGCAGATGTGATATCCCAGTATGGTAAGTCTGTTTCCTGTCGGCTGGGAAACTGGCACACATGTGGCAGCTGAGGAAAGGGAGTAATAACCTTGTCAGTCGTCTTGCCCACATCCGTCTCCAGTCCTGCCGGTGGAGCGCGGTGGTTGTGGGAGGAAAGGGTTCGATCGATGCTGTGACTAACTGGCCATTACTTGAATTCCGCGCAAGTCGCCACTGCCTCCCTCTCGCTGTCTTCAGTAGTGGTACTCCCTACCATGTACGCTGCCCCACAGCCCTCCTCCCCCCCTCCCCCCCAACAGAAAGCGCTGTAGCACTAGTCCTAATATTGAGCCAGAAGTTGTGTTATCTTGCAGTTGTTTCAGTGAAGTCGGACACTTGTCAGCTGAGGAACCAGCATGTTGGGCACGAGAAATACGTCACGAACGTTGGGCCAACTGTTGTGCTAACACTCACCTCCAGTAGTCTTGACCCAATCCACCTACTGGATTATTAGGGTCTCGGGATAGGGGGGGGGGATCATTGCCGCACAAACCTTGCTCGATATAAGCCGACACAAACGCAAGTCAGTTTCATTGCTAACACTCCACTCATCTCCAAAGACAACTGCAATATCCAAGTCGTGGACGACCGTTTACATGTCCTTCCGTAGGCGATCGGAGCCAATTTGTCCAGCCTTCTTGTTACAAACACTGATAATTAATAGCGGAATGCGGCAACTGCCTAGATATTTATCCTGCCCTACTCGGGGGTGCACTATCTGCTTCCTCGTTCGGGTAGAGAATAAAAATCCCTTACCGAGGATTGCGAAGTATCCACTTTTGGCTAAGTGGGCTGTTGAGACCGCGCCATCACGGTAGAACACAAACAAGATGGCTAGATCGCAGTTGATAGCCAGGCCCCGTATTACAGGTGGCTGGGGGTTTGTTTACTGGTGCTATTTTGTGGGGTTCCATAATCACATCTGACCCATTTGGCTTCCGTTTTACATCTGAGGTTAGGATTAGGGTACCGGTTGATGGTTTCCGATTTTCGGGTTAGGGTTATGCCTTTAGGCTTAGGTTTTCGAGTTACGGTTAGGGTTTGAGCGTACGATTAGATTTCAGTATTACGGTTAGGTTTTTCAGTTACGGCTACGTCTAAGGGCTACGGTTACGTTTAAGATTTCGGTTGGGGTTATGGTTAGGGTTGCCGTTAGGGTTAACGGTTAACTTTAAGGTTGAGGTTAGGGTTAGTGTTAAGGTTAGGATTGGGGTTAAGGTCGCCGTCCGCTTCCCCATTCCTGGCTACCAACTGCGATCTAGCCAACAAAGATAAACAACTAATCTTATTTTGTCACAGTGGCTTCGCTCATTCTAGTAATTTGGCACGTCGAGCGACCCATTAAGGGGCCATGTAACGTTAGGTAGAGCCAGAAAGTCGGCGAAGCAAGCATCTCAACTTAGTAATGCAGTAAAACAATATTTGGTGCAAAATTCCACACTCATTTAGTTAATGTTACGGTCAATAGACTCGAAAGAGAGGCGCCTGCAATCACCAGTACATCTCAACAGATACAGCCTTCCAGGCTATGGCTGTTAGCGCATCCCGATAATTTCAAAGACGTTGAATCCGAACTGTCTCGACCTGGAACCTTCTTCTCCCTCCAATGTCCCTGTGGTCTACTTGAATCAAATCAACTTTAAATGAGATTGGGCACAGTGAAAAACTCATTTGTCACCTACGTGCTGCTCTTTCGCTTCACATGACCAGACTTAGTCAAAATGCCTGATTTCCGCATAAGTGAGATGTCCACATTTTCATGTACGATGTTTCGCCGCCATAACGACGCCAGAAAATCAAATCACCCGATTGTCTCATGAGCAACGTGTGAAGTTTAACTGATGTATGTAGACATATGGCCGGATGAACCCGTGCACTTTTGTGCGCGTGAAGAGAAAGGTGGCTCACGGGAGACCTGGGCTGTGTTGCTCTACTGGACCTTTGTGTGTTTGCGACCATGGTCAAATAAACCCATATGACGGCTGAGTGCCCTGCGACAGATATGTTTGACGGCTGTTGGTTGAGGTTCGGGACACTGGCTCTTCACGCATTCTGTGGTGGACTCGTAGGTGACCGACCAGATCGACAGGTGATTCAAAAGTATGACTGCAATAGAAACATGTTGGCATTCTGATTTCGCTGCTTGCGGTGGGTGTTGCTTATGCCGTGGAGGCGTTCCCGTTATAACGGCACGAATATTTAGGACTAGGACAAACCGGAGCTGGAAGCTGGCACTACTATGAAGATTGGCTGGAGGGGTGTGTGATACTTGTGATGCCAGCGTTTTGTGCTGTGAGAGATGGGTTACTCATGTTGACACTACAATTAACTGACAGGCAGTTGAATTGAGAATGGTTCTATTTTCTTGCCTTGCTTGGGTACACAGCCTCGCAGTGTCCACCGGAAGACTGACAACCCTATCACCTCACTCAGCAGTTCGGTGAAAATGGTAATAGTTGAATTCGACGAATGCGCTACAGATGTGAAAACGCAAAGACTATAGTTTTTGGTTGGTTGCCGGACAACAGATCATAGGTCGTGCACGTCACTGGGGTTCCACCTTGTGCTGGATTCGGTCCAACAATCCTCTGGATATAAGCCTGTTAATTGTAGGTAGGGTTAAGACATTGACAAAAATATCGTCTGACGGGGACCAAGGTGTTATTTCACGGCCGCTTCTGTCCTTGTTATTTATTGTGCCTGGGACACATCAAACTGAATAACGCATAATGCGCTTCTCCGGTGAACGCCTCTCCTTCCTTTGGCATGCCAAATGGAAATTACATTTCTGCTCCAACCATCGCCTAAAATTCCATTTCTTGTTGTTGTTTAAAATTGACTAGCATGCAAAGTTGAGCTCAAGGTTAATCGAAATTGGTCCATTCTCTGCCGGAATGAAATCTGAAGGGTGCTATACGCAGCTAGCGAGTCAAAATCACAGGAAGCACGACAGGATAGTAGCCCTGGATAACCCAATCCGTGGGCAGGGGCATGCAACAGCGGGACCTAGGCGTGCTCCTGAGGCTGGATATGGTAAAAAAGCATCTGCGCCCACCATCGCATTCCTCAGCATATTTGAAGTCATTGGACCTCCGAGTCCGTAATCTAAACATAAAGGAACCTCCAGCGTGGGCACTAGCAAACAAGACGCAGTGGATGTGTTTTAGGTATTTGCGCAATCGGACCGTGACTCGTCAGGAGCGCACATGTCGAGGAATTGTAACGTATATCGCTCGATCGGAGAAATTCCTTGCGGTAAAACCCAAAAATACCCCTTCTAAACAATAATCACACAGTCGCCCCTCAGTCCACTTTTTGTTCCAAACAAGCCCAGGCATGCTCCTTTCAATTTCTTTACACACGGATGAGGTAAACTTGTCCGAATATTATTTCCTAGTATCAAATTTGATTCACCAGGTTTTGGTTTCCTCCTAAATCACCCTTTCTACAACCTTCGGATATGATTTTTAGCCAGTTCTACCAGGTTCACGGCATGCGTACTGGTTGAAACTAGGGAAATGCTAGCAACAACACGGCTATGTTTCGCTGAATAGCATGCATCGCAGTCGGTTTGTTTAGCATGCATCTGAGAGGGTAATTTTTAGTAAGAATGATGATGGGCTGTCTCCCGATTGTCTGAAGATATTGGTTAGGTCGACCCTGATGAATTCTGAAATAACGTGGGCTCCAGTTGGGTTTTACTTACTGGGAGATTAGAGCTCGAGAAGGCTGGCAGTGTGACCGAATCAAACTATCGACTTCCTTCGTTTCGCACTCAAGTGCGCTTCTGGCAACGGTTGGGTTGAACTACTCTACAAATTCGTAAGGCAGACGCGCTTTCATCTGCACGGAAGCTACCAGCATTGCAGCAAAGGTATTGTGCCGTTCGACAGTTAACTTGCACAAGTATGAAGTTTGAGGATGCAGTGAGCAAAACATCTGGGTTGATCGTTCGACCGTCGTTGCCGACGATGTCCACTGTGTAATCCACAGCATGGCGAAGCAGGTACGGTGAATTGCGCGTGAATTAGTTTATAGTGGATGTAGACTTTCACGGCATCTCCAGCATCCTCTCCTTTCCTCTCCTGCACTTGAATGGGATGCGAATACTGCACCAACACCCCGGAGTTTCAGCGGTGATTTGGGAAAATCAGATTTGACCAGTAAGTATATACGCAGCGTCGACCACACTCTCTGTTCCCAAAACCACTATACTTTAGTGGAAAAACTACGTCAGGAAGACCTAAGGTAGGACTATGTTCAGTGGCTGAGTGAACAAAAGCCCTCGTCTACATGCACTAGAACCCGGTTGGGCTCCCTCTCATAACCGTACTTCAGTTCCCACATAATTTTCCACCTTTGAGAAGACTTGTCGACTACCCTCATCGGGGTTGACCTGCCAGTGGGGTTTGTCGTTGGGGTGTGGCCGCAGTGTCTATATAATGCGTCGCTGTGCGACTGCTGTTTGGGCCCAAGAGAGGGCCCGTAAGGCAAAACGGAACGAGTGAGTTCCGTAGAAACTATCTGTGAGCGCCCCTCAACTAACAGTGACGTGACTCCACAGGTGGGAACTGGGCACTAGGCAAGGCTGGGAAGCGCCACCTCGTGAAATTAAGTATTTGACGTGAATACCGGTCCATCAAGGCGGTGATCATACCACAAGGCAAGTGCAAGAAGCCTGGATGTCCACCGACTGCTCTGTCAACCGCCACATCAGTTTGCCTCCCGCCTATCTGACTTTACGAACCTTGTTAACGGGAGACAGTCACGGGGCGTGACAATCGGGGCCGCCAGCCATCTCCGCGGCCAACGGGGGCGATGCGGATCACGGTGACATGCGGGTTTGATGCAGCCACACAGGCGGCATTGGCAGGTCACGCACTGAACAAAGTGCGCCATATAAGGGGAGCTGTGCGCAGGACTTCCCAGTCTCTGAAGATGGGTAGACGAACCAACTACCCGAAACGTCGGACCTCCAATAAACTCCTCCCGGCGAACGCCTCTTCTGCTTTTGATATGCCACCTGGGAATCACTGCTATTAACTACAACTACCTTCTGCTTCTTGACGTCTCGTCGATGTCCCATCACCAGCGGAGAGTCAGTTACCCAGACCAGGATGTACACATTCGTTGATAGCGTTTCAGGAAGAGTTGACGCTGCAATCTTTGCAAATGGAAGATCAAAGACGTGCCATTTTCTCTACGACTAGATAGGCGAATATCCCATGTAAGTGTCTCGCAATAATCTGGAGCGCGGTCGATTCTGTAATGTCTTTTAATTCCAGTTCAGAGACCTTGGAGGTTGCATAGGGGCGAGCTGTCAATAATCAAGAAATTTTACCGAGCAGAACAACCCCTAAGCCGGAAGTGGCAGTTTCGATCTCTCTGATGCTGAGTTGATTGTCAGGTCACCTACGATCGACCTCCAGTACAGTCGACCTAGATGTGGATATCCGTCCGACATACCAGGTCTTACCTTATTGCTAAACGAAGACCGGGATGTGATGACGACGATGAGATCAGGGAGGTCTGTCAGTCTCGGTGTTACAACCAGCAGACCTCCATCTCAAGGAAATGGCGACGAGGGATTGGAATTCACCTCGTAGGAGTGGCAGATCGCTCCACGTGCTCGTTGCACGGGGTGATTGCTCCATTTGCGTCACAACGTCGGCAAACTCTTATCTGGGGCCCCACAAAACTGTGTTATGCGCAACAGCCACTCTTCGCTAACCGCTTCATCTGATGACCGCTGTCTTTGGTCTCATATTCAGTCCGCTTGACGTAGTCTCCCCAAGTGATCATGATTAAACTCGGAAGGAAAAGTGAGATCAACGCAACGAAAATCCCTGTCACTGCAATTCCCCATGCAAGTCATATTCGTCACTTAGTTACCTTCGGCACCTTCCCACCAACATCTCCATCCATCATGACAAGTTTCCACGGAGAGGACAACATGCAACCCCGTAGACGACCCTGCATAAATCCGACGGTTTTCTGATCATATCAGTCATGAAACATTGTGGAAGCCAACAGCCGCCTAGGAAGTCTTAGCAGCCCTATTTAGGTACACACAGCTTACTCCCTCATTAGGAAAGGGGCTAGAAAAGGATTCCTGAAGAAACACATATTCAAACATTCTCAATACTGAACTTAACCATATTCTAATTAAATACCCTGGAATTGTTCGTCTTAGGCACACTATTCCAATTTTGGACTCAGATTTCTTCATTTTACTGGGTCTTCTAAATGCATACGTCGATTCTGAGCAGACTTTGTCAGTTGAACCTGAACGTGGAACTAGGCTTCCGTCAAGAACATTAGTAACTCTCGGAATTCTGTCTCCTCCATTGTTCCTAGTCCTTTTAAACCATGGAATGTCCATTCATGTTCTAACCATCTTGTGACACTTTTGCTCATAATTTTTGGTCTCCTTTGCTCACAGAAAACTGCGTCAATCAGAACGCGTAGAATTTCTTTTACATATGTCAAGTGCTTATGGCGTCAAAAATAATTCCTCCGCAAACTAGGCATGTAGGACAACCTAGTGGAGGTTAGTAGGTTGGGGAAAAGTAAAATTGTCGGGCTAACCACTATGTTTACTGGTCAGTCTTTTTTCCTCGTCTACCAAGATTTGGAAGAATCTTAAAAGCATCATCGACCAGCAAACCAGGCTGGTTGATATTGGCTTCGGCATAGGCTCATTAAACGTAAGACTAAAACTGAGTCAAATTTTCCTGCGAGCGATTTCTTATCCTCACAAAGTGCCTACTGCCTATTATTAGCGACTGTGCTTGATTTATTATGAGTGTCGGATGTCTTCTGTCTATTTTCGGTAGGCATGGTTGCGAAGGGTCTTCAAGTGGTCCGTAGTCAGCAGCCGTTGCATGCGATGATATCTCTCCGCTTCTATATAAGCCCTCCTCTGTTGAGCTCGTACTCATTTTAACTCATCCTACTAGCATATGCTTCAGGTAATCTACGATATCTGGTAGTTCACATATTGTCAGAATCATTCTTATCCCTAACATTTTTACTAATTATGATTCTAAATACCCCCGCCCCAGTTGCCTGTTCATAAGACTTTCCGTAGCTTATTGAAGGAGTGTATTTCTTGGGAACTACTCTGCTTTCCGTGTTGTTATCTGTGACCTTCATTCCAGAATAGCATTCAAGTAAAGCTCCCCGGATGGATGAAATTATGACTTACAGCTTATTTCTTCCCTTGGACTCAATTTGTCCTTTCTGACTAGCGTAAATCCACCCTTACCCCGAGTAATTGTAGAATACTCCAAGTTGACATTCTATAACATTAGCTTCCTTCGTTTCACACTGATGCCCTAAGGTTAACCAATAATTGTCTCCATGTATAACATTCTCAATACCTCAGTGGTTGTCATCCTGCCAAGAATAGTGTCGGTCCCCGACCTTTTAGAGAGGGTTTCAATTACGTCACAGCATAGTCTTCAACATGTATTTGTCTGTTAATGGCAGGAAATCCATTCAGCTGGTTTGTAGACTCTGGCTATTCAGTAATCCTGTGTACTTTGTCATTCTACACAGTGTAGTGTCTTAAATCCATTTTTAACGCGATTCGCACAACTGGGTAATATATTATAATCTTAAGTTCGTGGTAAAGCCCTCCATCCGTGGTCTGACGATTTATTACTGCCCGTTTTCACCTCCTTTTCTACTACCATTACCCTGTCACGTTTCTAGTCCTCATCATAGAGAGAGAAGAAGGAGAAAAAGAAGAAGAAGAAGAAGAAGAAGAAGAAGAAGAAGAAGAAGAAGAAGAAGAAGAAGAAGAAGAAGAAGGATATTCCCACTCCGAAGCATGTCTGTCGCATATCCTCTTCTGCTACAGAGGCCTCTAGTTACTTTGTAGTGCATACCGTAGCATAACTACATTGGACAATTTTGCATTATACTAATCGAATCCCTGATTATGCTGTCCATCCAATTTTCCCCGACCTAATTGCTGCGAGTTAAAACCGTCCGACCCGGAGTGACTTCCTTCGTGTCACCTGCTGTACGCCAGCCTATTAAAGACCCAACATGCCACTCTGAGCAAAATTTCCGAGATATAATGAAACCGAAGTACATAGACTGAGACTAGACTTGTCGGTTGAGCATGGCAAGGTGGACCCCCGTATAACAGATGATCTTACCCCAAATTCCAGAGGAGGGGTTAGCGCCACGTTAGAAGAGTTAGGGTTATGAGGGCTAGGAGGGTTAGGGCTAAAGTTAGGACGCGGAATAGGTACCCACTTGGAATCTAGCATTACGTCACAGGTAGTGCGGGCGTTATATTCCCGTGTCCGACCGAACTGTCATCATAGCGGCCATATATTTTATAATGCCAATTTTTGCCCATATTCTATCCTTCAGATTGAGGATATGGTGTTAGGAGAAGGCTTTTGTTGTGATTTTTGATATGCTTACTCTACAGCAAAAGGTACGCATACAGCCTCTGTCCAGTCCCTCCAACCTGCAAAGATATAACCAAGGTCTTCGGCACCGTGAGTCGACACTTACTCTGGGAAATCAGAATTGAGTTTGGATGGTTCGAAATGTTCTTGCTGACGGTCACGCAACTTCTTATTGGAATGATGGTGCGCGTCACGGACAACGAATTAACCCTACAACCATTCGTCATGGTAAATGAGGGAAACAGGGCTGCGTACCCGTTGGAACTATCGTCAGCTAACGGATGCTTATCGTAAAGAGCCAGCAGAAATCGATGCCTACTACTAGACCGATTTCCAAACATCCTTTGGATACACGCTATCCTGAAAATCTCCAAGACCGTTTGCCTCGTCGACGGTTTTACAACGGACACCACAATTGAAATGAATACGCAGGACAGCCTGAACTCATTCACCTCTGTATGCATCTACTTCTCACTGATCGCAAGAGCCGAGAAAACAGCTATCATCTATCAGCCGTAATTAGCTATGGACAGTACGGAACCCACGATTATCTTAAAATACAATCGCTCTTATATACGAGAAGACGGGTTCTAAGGAGCAGTTTACTTGAGGGAGAGAGAGAGAGTCGATAACTGGAACAGAGAAACTACTTGTCTGACGTTCCGAACTATCTAACCCATGCATCCCCGTGTGTTCCGCAACCTTTGCTTGCTGATGTTTCTGGTGATGGGTCGAAGGGGGAGATCGAAACGCCTGACGAATAAACTTATTCTTCTAATAGTCGAATCTACTTGACCATCGCCTCGTCGGATACGATGGTCTACAATAATGAGATCCTTAAATCACAAGTTGAGGAAGCTTATTTAAAAGGAAAAAAATTATGTTGGGACTGTACAGTCGGTTGAGAGGAAGTCCTGAACGGTTGATTTTTGTGCCACTCAAATGACCAGATGCGCTGTTGGCGACTTGTCCTATCCTATCCTGTCCATATGATTCGTTGGTATGTAGTGCATGCAGTTGGCGAGATTTTCATAGGCATCGCGGATGGTTGGGGGGGGGGCACTTTTTTAAGGAAATGAATGATGGCATCGACCACCAGTTCGGCGGTATTGTAAGTGAGATCGAATCGACGGTCGGCCGAACGCTAAGAAGAACAGGGAGAAGGCGATCGGTCCAGTACACCAGATCCCCAACGGTTCCTAGTGCAGTCTTTATTGACGGTGAAAATGCCGGACTATTCCATTTAAGCGAGGCAATCAGCTGCGGGCCGGATCTGACCGCAGCGTGGAGAAATTTAGGAGGGAGTTGGAACTCAAACTGAGCGCCACGATTAGTCACGATGGTGGGAGGAGCACCGAAGATGGCATGCCAATGATTGAGTAGGGCCTCGGCCTCGGCCGCGGTCGCTGTCTCCCATGTTCATTAAGTAAACGAGTTCCGGCCATCGGACGAACAGATTGGCACATTCGAGGAGACAGAAGTGGCCATTAAACAGGGCATATACTGTGAGATGTCCAGGTGAACATGACCAAGTCTAGAGACGGGGAGTGCGGAAGGTACTGAGTTTGATCTTGTTATGATGGTGGACTTTGCTGCGCTGTCAGTCTAGCCAAGCCTCGATGTAAGCCTTGACATCTTTGTACATATCGCGTCAGATGAATCTGTCGGCGACCACTTTGTAGCACGGCTTCCTGGGTGAGGTATGTTGTGGGCCTAATTGAAAACCGGTCAGCTCAGGCATGGGAACAAGAACGGATAACAGAGTCCGGTGGAGATTTCACATCCTCGTCGCCTAGGGCGCTAGTTGCAGGGTAGAAACGGAGGGTCTGAGCAGTGTGCCAGTCATTTCATTGCATTTTCAGTTAGTAGAGCGGATATCGGCGGTGAACTGGGATATGGGATTCAGTTGATGATTCCAGGGGGCTAAGTTTGCGACATAAAGGTCATAGCGTACAACTGAGAGGTTTGTGTTCGTGAACCTGGCGAAACACTCACTCAAATATAGCTCTGGAAGCGCTTCTCAGCAAACTAGACGTCTCGCTTCCCTGGAGATCCTGCTTGAAGTTGGATGTGCAAGTAGAAGCACAATGCCGAAGCCTGTCGTCAAAGATGGAACGTTACCAAAAGGCTTTGAAATAGGGAGATCAAGGGGGTCTCACATCACTGAAAGATGGCCAGAGTTATCTCCTGGAGGAGGAGCGGGCGTGCTTTAATTAAGAAAAAACTACGACGGCCCTTCTCTATAGCGTGGGAAACTAATAAATCCTCTGAAAGCAAGCAGTAAGACGGAGCCACAAGAACATGCCCCGACCTATTGGGTCTTACAGCATTGCTTACACGGGTGTCTGGAGAGGCTAAATACGGAAAACATAGAAAAGCCAAGCGTAGGCAGTCTGAAAACCGGCCTACCCTCGACCTGCGAGGAAAATGACGGATCATCAGGCCAAATGACCCCTCCAGCGACTGAATCGGTTTTTATCAACATTATTTATTACCCCGTAAGTTAGTCAACACTACCTCTATCGCCCTCCATGGGCGGCTGTTAGCAGTCACGACAGGAGAACTAGCAAAAAGCAATAATCTCTAGATCAACCCACTAAACAAGGGTTGTGCGATCTCGTAAGACTAGCTGGCAGTTCATATTTCATCATCTCGTAAGCTCCCAGCCGCTCGAAGTGTCCGTTCTTTAAAAAAGATATATCCTCTAGAGCTCTTCTTGTTCAAAACCCCACACTTTATGACTGAGCATGACAACTATCGTCTTCCGAGGTGCCGCCTACACACAGATTAGGATCTGCCTGTGGACTCATGTCCATCCCTCTGATATCGATCGTATTCATGAGAAAATTAGAAACTTTATTTTATTAATTTCTCCCAGTCATCCGAGGTCTCGTGGTGATTCTCCAGTGACACACTGGCTTGACGAGATGACGCTGCATGAAAGGCTTTCCGACCCCAACTCCATTTTGCACTCTATCAGAGGCGGACAATGGCAAGCATACTTCTATGCAATGCCTATTAAAACTATTTGCAAACGGTCGTCTTTCCCGTAGAATCTTTCACAAAACAACAGCTACTGGATGCTATTTGGATTTCAGCTCCAGTCACAAATTAATGATCAAAATGCGATGCTCTTATAACAAGAACGGCGGGCGAACCTTCCATGGTCTACAGGGCACGTAAGGACCGCAGAAAGTACAAGAACTTTTCAGCAACCTGGACCGAATGAATTTCCCCCGAAATGCTCGATAACTGGTGTGAAAACAATTCCGAACCACAATAAAGCTATTCGGTGGATAACTCAAACCTCCATTCCATGCGTACCCAAAACGTATACTGCTTTACATATAGGTTTAGATAAGATAACCAATAGAGCATCCAGTGGGACTTCAAAGACGCTGATTTCAAAAACATGTAGCTGCAAGGTTTTGCGTCCTTGTGGTCTAGGGGGTATTTAGTCGACCAACGCAACAGTTCTGACTAGGCACTAAATCGGCGAAACTTTCGAACATAAAATATATCCTTAAAAACTACCGGTAACTTCCTAAAAGAATCCGTAGGACCTTTGCTTAACGATGGCCCTGCATGCTCATAACGCAGGACACCCGGTAGACTTTCAAGTCCTGAAGGATGGAGTAAGTGCAGCGAAAGTTTAGCAGCTGAGAAGTTTGTCATTGTCAAAGACGTCATGAAGCGCAACACATAGGACGATGTCCACACCCTATTTAAAATGGTATTTGGAAGTGGAATCATTGACTTCCGTGTTCCTTTCCTCCTCCTCGACAGTATCTACATTTTCGATATAATCCTGCCTTCTAGAGCTTAGATGTAACTTTTTCGTTATTTTTCCCCACAGCCCGATAACAAGTTCCTCCATCTCTATTACTTTCTTCTGAACTGATCAGTTGGGTTCTCTATCAAGCGTCTCAGTTAACGTCCCCGACGCTTCTGACTGACCGGCTTAATGATAGTTTAGTTTTCCGGCCAACTGCTCCTCCTTTACAACTCACTGGATCTTAGTTGAAGTGAAAAAAGAAGGGCCGGGTCCTTATTGCTACAGCCTACTCACAGGTTTCTTTGTAATGGCCGATTGAGGGCTGTAGCGTTGAGGGTACTGCCACTCCACTCTGGAAATTTGTGTTTGATGTTCCTGGCCTGGTCCCGCCATCGGAAGCTCGCACCTGCTATGCGCAGACTGCCCGCGCATGACGGACAGTGTGCGCCAATAGGGTATCACACACACACGCACATGCAGTGTTGGCGCCAGCTGAGGGATTCGGGCCAATGGGATGCTGACTGGTGGAGCCTCCACTGTCGCTATGCTGGCATGTTTGCTGCGAGTTGCAGGATCCTGTCAGCAAGTCAGCCACGCCCGACAAACATGAGCACTTTTTAAAATTTATGGTTGCCTCCAATGAAGGGAGTTCTGCCGAGTTCTCTGATGCCGGGAGTCTCTCTTCGCTCTCCAGCCAT